ATAAAGATAATTTTCCTTTTTTAAAGTAGAATATCTAGGTACGTATAAATTATTTCAACTTGATATAGGCGCTGTTGCCAATATGTGAATTAGAAACAAATCCCTTTAAAAATTAAAACCCAACATTTGAAACATCAATTTGAATACTTTTCAAAGTGAATTTGAAAAACTCATGAATCAAACTCAACTTTATTTTGTTCAAACTTGCATTTGCTGTAATAACCCAAATTGAGGAACATTCCCCATTGATAAATGTTGTGATTAGTCATACTTTTTGAGGAGCTATTATATTGGTGAAACTTCGGGACCATTAAGTTTGACCATGAACGTCGAGATAACATCAGAAGTAGACAATCAACAGGATCAAAATTGTCAGAACATATTTTAAAATTAGACAGTGAACATCGAGTTGATTGGAACAAGACGAAAATGATTGCCAAACAATCCCACTTTGAGAGACACAAACTGTATATTTTCATATCTGGAGAGAAGAGTATTTCAAACCGCTCCTAAAAATGTATGGTACTTAGCTACCCGTCTTGAAGAAAAATATGGATAGTGGAGAAATAGCAATAGAGCGACATCAGAGAACACATTGTACTACATTGAACGTTTCAAAAGTCGACCAACAAAACTGGCATAATCAACATTTCAAAACTACTCTGACATCTGTCGGAAAAGATTAGAAATAAAAAGAATCAGTAAAAGGAGAAACTGTACATATACTTGAATTTTGTCCATTTCTGAAGAAGGCAGATTTCAACCGCCGGAAATTCAATATCGTTTCTTGTTTATGCTATACAAAGAACCTACTTGCATATTTCAAGATTCTAGGGTCAGTAACTTGGCTGTACGTTAATATAAGAGTATCAGTCAATCACTAGGTATACTATTTCCAATACCAATTTGAACAGCACAGTGAAGGAATTCCCGCCTCGACATAGGCGTCGGCATATTATTTTTCAGTGGTAGTTTTTCAATTACTTATTCTTACAATCACAGCAATTGATCACCCCATGAAAAAGTTATCTCAATTGAATTTTTCCACCATAGGTAATTATGAAAAACTTCGAAATTCAAGGTAGTTGATTTCCGAGTCATAAACTCTAAAATACAATGAAAACACAAATAATCACACCGAATTCTTGTTACAAATATATTTACAAAATGATACAGGCCCACAAAATTGCTAGAAAAATCAAAATTTTTCTTCGCTATATTCCGATGAGGTGGAATCATCATCGGGTTGAATAACGATCGGATTTATGGAACTTTGCACATAATATATGTTCTCTTCTTTCATAACGTGGGCCACATAGTTCTTCCACACATCACTATTACCCACTTCATTCACCACTCGCCTTATATTGTCAGCATTCAAAGTCGGTGACTGATTACATTTCCGCAAGCTTTCTTTAATTGTGGCCCAAACCATTTCAATTGGTTTGAACACACAATAGTATGGAGGAAAACGTAAGAGAATATGACCATGTGTTTCACACATCGAATCAATAATATACTCTTTTTTGAAATTACGTTGTTTTATGGTAGCCAGTAATAACTTTTTCGTTGGAATCTTTTCGAGTATTTCCATGTCATGATTTCGCATGAAATCAACAATATCTGTTTTTTTGTGTTATTGTTTGGTATTGTAGTCAATAACCGAGAATGATACGAAGCGTTATCCATAACAATAACCGAGTTTGGAGNTAATATTATAAATGCATAAAGTTTGTGAGGATAGCTCTGATGTATAAGCTGTACAAGTTTTATCCGTTCAGTCATTTGGGAGTGAAAATACCACAAACATACATACATACATACAACCTCACAAACTTGCACAATTTTATATTAGTATATAGAGTAATATAGTTATAAGGGCTAACATTATGATTTATTCTCAATTCATCGTAATTGTTTGAAAATGTCCTTATAGGACGAAATTGCAGGAACATTATTTACAAATAAAAGTAAAAAATCAGAAAGTTTCATTTCTCAATTTTCATATTGAAATAAGTATTGCTCTTTTTGCCTTTGGGCAAAATTATCAAAAACGATAAGTTAATGATGAAGAGAACATTTTTAACTGTGAAAATTACTTTGAATTTCAAACTAACTTATCGGAATATCACTGTCACTATTTTTCGGGTTTGGAGGCCGTCGGTTTATGGAAAAGCTTACCTCCGATAGAAGATAAATTCAGGATGGACATCTGAAGAAGCTAGCCATCTGTGCCAACGAAACGTCGGGAAGAAATTCCAAAAACCGACGGCCTTCAAACGAAAAATAGGGACACTGAAAACCTCTGCAGTGAAATCCTCAACCATTTTATGGTATACTGAAAGTTCGCCTTTTCGTGTATAAAATTCCCCATTAAATTTTTCATATTTTACAGATTGTGGAAGATGAAAATACTCATTGAGGGTTGATAAAAACTGAATATCTCACCTGTCGTTCTTGAAACTATCCAAGAAACGTAGGAGGTGACTCTTGTATTGATACCTGGTCTGGCGGTTGCACAACCTAGCCCATATGAAATCACTCCTACCAATTGAAGTCTTCTTGTAGCAGTATCCATCCAAAATAGAGGACCTGTAAGATCCAGAAAATAGCGTGCAATTTTTTTTTGTCGCTGCTTTGTTAACATTTCTTTGACCCAGAGAACAATCACCGTATGACACTGTTAATATTTCAAGTTTGACCACCACGATCACCAGACTTTTCGCCGTTGGATTCATTTCCATGAGGTCATTTGAAAAGCAGATTTTACTGTACTCCTCCTCCAACTCTCGAAGATTTACGGCAACTTCAACTCTAAATTCAATATGGTTCGTCCAAGTCAAAAAAATGTACACTGTTGTTTAGAGAATTACAATATTTTTCAAACGATGTGGAAAAAAACTGTCCCCCTTCCGATAAAAATCTACCTGTCTGAGCGTTTTGTAGGATTTGCAAGATTAGTATCTGAAGCGAAGTTGTTATGACAGACTATTTTTCTAGTAAAATTACCTGTAGATATACTGCGGTCACCAACAAGAATACCCAAATTTTCCCTCTTTACGTGGAGAAGGCAGTGTGCGGCAGTTATCACATATCGATTCGAAATGATACTTCCACTACAAAAAACTTCTGCTCCTAGAGTGTCCACCAATCCTGCTATGGAAGGAAACTCATTTACCAACGTTTCGTTCTCTCCTGCGATACTCATCTGGGCAAAAAAGAGAATTGTATTATATCAGATCATATTTGAACGTAGGTCAACTAGGATTATTATGGAAATCAGTTCGAAAGAACACATTATACTAATAATTGTTTTCTGCAGGTGTGAAATGATTCGCAGTCTGAAAATAACCAGGCAGTATACTATTATCGATAGTCGATCAGCCTATGATAGATCAAAACCTGTTATTTTTATCCAATCACACAATGAGCGATTTCGTTCAGAATGTGGTGGAATTCTTATTCTTATTATATATGAAAACGAGCTGACCCTGCATACGTTGTTTTGTCACATAATTTATTTGATATCAGAAGATTAACACTCAATAATAATAATTCCCCTGTACAATATTTTTCCTTAGTACATGTTCAGCTAGCACGAACAAACGGGATAGTTTGCCCATTTGAGAGCTAGCCACGTAAAATTTTACGTGTGAAACACATGGTGTGCTAAAATCCAAGCCGCACACACGGCCATTGTTTTGCGAATCCAATTGGAAATTGCATAAAATTGTTTAAAATGAATTGGCACGTCTATAGGTATAATAGGGATTCATGGTATCGATATATTTTCACCTCGGAACATGACATTTAAAATGCTGGCTTCGACAACGTTTTTCAATAAGTAATCGCGTGCCGTTGCATAGCCTTGGTGGATTCAAATCATGGAGCGATCCAACCTTCAGTTTTAAATTATGTGATGCCATGCCTGGCAAAAATCAACGAGTTGAAACACTTTGTTGGGTGGCAGTGGCATCGAAAACTGTATCTACGTTCGATAGATAAACAACAATAGCGGCCGAAAACTGTGTACGGCGTGAGAGAAGGCTTATTGTGTGAGAGAGACAGAAGACCGGCTTTTTTCTCATCCCTACTCAGTGCTGTGAGAAGTGACACCGGTAAACGCTTGGCGGGAATAACTGATCTATGATTAAATTACTGAAATGGCTATTAAAAACTAGGGGTTGGTTATGGAAGGATGGAAATTGAAAGTTATATGTATTATTCAATGCCACATCATAAAAAAATATAAAAATGGTTAGGGTGGAACACCCTAATCACTTAGGGGTATGAAAAATATGTTCAAACCTATTCTTAGACCCATGAAAATCGCTTGAGCGGTTTCCGAGGAGAATGGCAACTAACACATGACACAAGAATTTCATGTACGATATATAGTGATTCCAATTCTTCACTAGAACAATGAAGAAAACTCTGAATCTTGGGAATTCGAAGTACTCTTGTTTGGTATCATAATGAAAGTATTCCTATTCGAATTGAAAGGAGGATATTTTCAGGCGAGATCAATTTTTGGGAAAGAAAGGTTTCTAGAGTTCATGTCGATATTATCAAGGAAAAAACACAAGATTTACATTGGATTTGAATCGCTGAAGATTGAATTTATTTGGAAAAACGTCAGGAAGTTCATTCCGCATAAACGCAGTTCTCCAAACGGAAGAGTTCTTAAACAATAAAGTTCGAAGTGTACTGAGTTGAACTTCAGAACGAGGAGCAGCCAGAGTCCGTCGCGTATTTCTTGTAATAACTGCCATTGCGATGGTTAACGTAAAATATTATTCCATTCATGGAGATCGAGACCAATCACCCGTTTCTTCGGTGTCGATATTTTTCCAGTTGAAAAAGCGCTGAACTACTTTATGACTGTCGGACCTTTGAGCGTCGTTGTGGTCATGTACAAGTTGGGCTAGACTAAACAAATGTATATATTACATCCTGTTGATGATCATACGTTTGGCAAAGTTAAAAAACGTTGAGATGAGGTATTTGTGGCCAGCATTTCTGACGCGAGGGCTTGGGAGTTTTTGCGGAGGGACACAAAAAGTCACCGGACTCCGTCGAGATGAGAACGGGGGTCTCATCCCTCAGCCTTCGGGGCTGAGGGAGGTGGCCTAAATAGGGGAGTTATTTCATTTATAAGCAAGTTGTGCGAAATTTAAGGAAAATCGGTAGTGAAATCATAAACCGGTAATGGGTTCAGGGGAGTTTGAAATTAAAGTGTTGATGTTGAAGACTCAACGGAACATATGGCTGACCATGAACCACCCAAAGAGGCGTTATGTGAGTGTTTGTTTTTTTTTCTAACCAGTTGATATTGAGAGAGAGTTCACGTATTATTTTGTCCGAGTCCACTTCCTATTTATGAAGAGGTTATATTGTATATTATTGATTTCCTAGAGCTGATTGTTTAACTAGAGTTCATAATACAATTACAAAGAAAGGCGAAAATTTGAAGTTATACACCACTCTCCCTAAAGTAAAAGTAAAACTGAAAGTATTTTGTACTGAGTTGGTGTATGTGTAGTTATTCAACAGGTTGAATAAATAACACGGTCAAATTGGCAGCATTTCCTTTGTTCTAGTTTCATTTATTTTATAGAATTTAACATTTTCCTTCTATTTAATATTTTACATGTTATTGTTCATCATTTTGTCCATAGAGTCGTTTTTCTACTTATTATACTTTAAATTTGAAACGTAGATTGATTGAACAAAAACAAACAAGAGACTTTTTGTCAATCTATCGAGAAGGTAATGGTGAATGCAAAGCATTTTAATTAAGATTAAAATTCAGTTCTGGAACCACATAATTGAAGAGAATATAAGTAGGTATACCAAATGATCAGATTTCAAAAAAACCGGCCTTCGTGCGACCGGCACGAACCTTACATCTTTTTCGAAATTGCCTAACTTCCAAGTGTGTCAAATTCATCACATTTTTCGAAATATATTCATTTCACATTCAAAAAAATGACCATTGATATTTTCCGATTTCGAAGAAGGAGCCTGAAAATCAGCTACCAAGCCCAAGAAAGGCAGCAGGAGGAATACATTTAAAGTGAGTTCGAATTATATCAAGAGGGTTATGTACAGCGCCATCTGCCCGCGAATAGATCAAGCAATAATGTCGATAATTCTGTCAAGTACAGTTTCCGAGCTTGAGAGTTACAAACATACATACACACAGGTGAAGCTAATATAAAACGTGTAAAAATGAGACATTCAAATCGATGATTTTCAAATCAATCTATGTTCTTATATGTTGATACTTTGCTTACCGTTTGTTTCAAGCCACAGTTGCATACTGAGGGTGCTGCTGTATTCGCGAAATTCAGACTTTGAATTTCCTTCAGAATACACATGAATCTTCCACCCTTTGAATCGTCAGTTGCGAAGAGCCCTGTGTGAAGTAATTTGAGTTCTTATATACAAATTTGAAAGTGATTCAATCCATCATAACATTTCCTTAGCTACTTCTAAGTTTTGGCGAATTTGAAGAATATCAACGCATCAAAATCAGTTTCATTATAGCATCTATAGCACTCTCCTCACACCAGAACAAAACTTATATCTCTTAGCATGCGTTTTGCTGACCAGTGAACGCTAAAACTGAATCCTACAACTGAGTTGGATCATTTCATATACTCTTACATACCCTGTATATGTACCCTGATTCAAATGTTAATGACTTATGACTAATTATACCTCTTTTACCCTGATTTCTAATTAGGTGATCATCACTCAGGATAGTTTGGTGTATCAGTACAAGTGTGAAAACTACCAGGTGAAGAAATACCTTTTTGTATTGGATTAATAGTGTGAAAATTGTAAAATCATTCTAACGAATAGTATTATCAATTTTCATTGCGGAACAGGTCAGTGTATTCATAATTTATAGATATAGATTTAAGAAACCCAATAATCGTATGTGCTCATTAAAAAAGAGAACAAAAATTTTCTGAATGTCCATGACTTTTTCGAAAAACGATAACTCGAAGTGTATAGTTATTTGATATGTGGCAAAATATACCAAATGAAACATGAAAATGGCTTTCAAAGCTGTTCCTATACTCCAAAATGTGTTTAGCAATCCAAGAAACAAGATGACCGACAAAAAAGTTTGGGATTCCAAAAATAAGTGATACGGATTGTTGGTCAAACTCGGTGAAACATATCATCATGTTTTAGGGAACACTGTCCAGACCAGAGAAGTCATGTGTGAAAAATGATTGAATTGGTAAGACCACATGACAATAGGGTCTTAGTTTGAAAATCGAAAAATTTAAGAGCAAGTCTATGAAAAACGACAAACCTCCCGTTTCAAACAGCCCATTGTTTACTCTCTCACATAGCAACTACAGTCAACAGTCATCAAATAAGGATACAACACACTAACACAATAACGAATACTAGATAAAAAGGTCTAACATAGTTGCAAAATTCAGTTTTGATCATCTCCTGATGATGCTCACTTGGCTAGCGAAACGCACGTCGAGACCGTGGTTTTGTTCTAATATGGGCAGAGTGTTTTCGATAGACTCATTCCACGCTAAAGATTCCAATCCTATCTATCAAGTCATTATACAAGTTGAAAGAAAATGTCCAGTTTTGTTTTAGGTATCTTCACCTCCCACAACTGAAAAAAACTTAATACAGAAGTTTCATAAGTTCACCCTATAATATTTTGATGGAATGAAGTTTGAAGATAGAGAGAACGAAACAAAAAGTTTCATTGCAGAAAGGAAATGGAATATCACATTTATAAAAATTATTGATGACTGGGTTTAATTTTCCTCACCTACAGCCAGATGATTTCCATTCGACACCAACTCCATTGATGTGGTCCCACAATAAAAATTGGCATCTTTGAAACTGAGGTCACCATTCAATGATATAGCTAGTTTATCACCTACACAATTAGTTGTCTGGAATANCGCATAAATTGGACTATTAGTTTGGGAGATAGAACTTTGATTGAAGAGGATTGTCGCGTGTTGATACAGCATTGTTTTTTGGCGAAAAAAATACTATTGAAGCCAAGGCTTGACTTGATTATCTTGAAACTGTCAAATTTTGGCATATCATCTAATATTCAGTTGCTCCTGAAATCATATATTTACCCGTCCGAGGTAGCTATGTTGAATGTGAGGGTATAAAATCCTCCTGCTTTGTAGCGAGTTCGTGTGTCCCACAAGGGTCTGATCTTGGACCGTCATTATTCATACTATCTATAAATGACATTGCCCATGATATCACTTGTCATAAATTGCTATTTGCAGATGACATGAAAATATATCGTAAAATGCAAGATGAAGAAGACTGTTTCACATTACAGAAGGACGTGAATCACGGAATCAAACGATATGAGGGTTTTGTTTGATCAAAAACTCATGTTTTCCAATCATTTTCAGAATGTAATATCAACTTCAATGAGAAGTCTGGGTTTCTTGATACGCAATGCAAGGAATTTAAGGCATTTCATTCTAAAATACAGAAAAAGCCGCGATATGTGTTTTGCATACAAAATAATACATAGACAGATAGATTTCTCGCCTCTATTGTCTCAAACGCTATTCAGTGTATCGCGTATTTCATCTAGATTCTGTAGCACATTTCATATCCCGGTCCAATACACTGCATCATTTTCATTCTCCCATAACCACAATATCTAGAAGTGTTCCTAGTGCGGATATATTTTTTCTACCGTTCAAACAATTCAAAAAAAGATTCTCCGTTTCATTTCAAAATTGATCTTACAATAATAATTATCATAATTCTAATTGTATAGTATTTTAGGGGTTGCGTTTTCCACCCCTCACAACCATGGGGTAAACCAAATAAATTACTGGCTGAGGTTTTTTTTGATAGAACAAAACGTCAGGTTAATTTCAATATTGTACAATCACTGATGCCAATAGTGTATATTTCTTTCTTAACCTGACATATAGCAGCATACTTACGCTTGGTAAAGTAATATCTGCGCAAGTTAGTAGGATTCTAGTGCCAGGTTCACTCTGTACAATCCATTTACAATTTGTTGAAGGCGTATAATTCCCAAAATATTCTTTGTTGTGCATGAAATATGCTTCACCCCTGACGATGTCTTTGGGGACTAGACAGATTGCAGCCTCTACTAGCGTAGTAGGACCCAGTAGGTTGAGGAAACCCACTAGAACCATTAGGGTAGTTCTTATAAAACCTGCAATGAAATTGAGTTCTTATAAGTCTTTCCTGATGATGACAACTTTGGGGAAACACGTGTCATTTTACAATTCGTCAAAGGAAACATTTTGTTTTGTAGCCATAAGAAACTAACGGGTACAAAAAAGATTGGAGAGATTCTTCTAGAAAATTGATCTAATGCAGGGGTCTCCAAACTTTGAAGCCTTCGGACCATAATGATTTTTTCAGTTTATTCCAAGGGCCAATTTCTGCCCTTAACTATATTTCTAGACTAGGATAGTCGCAAAGTACGTGACCTAAGCAAACTTAGGTTTTTTTGAATTTCAATTATTATTGTGTATTGTGACACTTAACGACATCTAGTGGCGA